AATAAAAAGCAATGTAACAACCAGAAAAAAAAAAGGTTTGATGCCAATGAGATAACTCTTACTTAATCTGCTCCTTTCGCTATGTTTATTGTTCAAGATTTTTACATATTTATGGTTCTGAATAGTTCTAATTACCAGTATGCATGGGAACACAAAAACTACAATTCTATTGTTTTGGTCATGTCTTTCGCTATTGTAAATTAAACTTTGAACGTATATATGGCTGATATTGCCAGGCAGATGCTCATGACACCAGAAAAAATATTGCACTGATCTTGACTGCTCGCGTATTCTATGACGATAGCGATCCTTACATGCATAGAATATGGAAGTTCCTGGATTTTACAGTTTGATCATAGCATTCGACAAAAAGACATAACTTGAGACACTCGAGAAAACTACGTTAAAGACATCATGATTTTCATAAATAGACATGTTCTGATCACAGATGCATACGTAATACTACAAGGAAAAGTCTAGTACTGGTCTTCCTGATGCATTACTTGCTAAAGCAGACACACGTTATCGTCCTTGTTGGCATTTCATCTTTCACTTATCGCAGTCAACAGTTCGATATCCAGTACTTTTCCTCTGATCACTCGATGAAATCATCACTGCTTTTGAAGATATAGCTGGAGCTGTTAGAAGGCTTGTGGCCAAGAGATAATCATGATCATTGAAAGAAGGTTTTTTATAATTTTTTTTTTCACGTAGTGCAACGGTCAAATATTGCTTCAAAGCTTTGCTTAATTAATTAGCAGAAAATAGTCCGCAAACAGAAACTGGTTTGACAATTCTTGGTGTATATTAATTCATGCAATGATTCCAGGGGAAATTTCCACATGTTTTTTATTGCTGCGAACTTGGTTAAAGTATCAACATGAAGAACTTTTCTTTCTTAAGAAGGGAAAAAGTAGTAGTTCACCGCCCTGATGAACTCATGCAGCAATGAGCATATCGAGAAATCGGCTAGCTAGCTAGCTAGCTAGGTACAGCTAGGTCTTGAATGCAATGTGGCTGAAGAGAATTATGAATGTAAA